TAGATGGAGAGAGGTTGCACGAGAGGCAATGGGTCGTGGAGGGAGTTCAGATAGGAATATCGATGAGTTTGCTAAATGGTTGATGAATCTACATGCCTAGGTAATGTAATGTGATGATCAGTGTGTCGTGCTATCCTCAACATCCAGGTGAAACTGCGAGGTTGTTAGATAGATATTTGATACGCTACTAATGAAATGTTTGCTCGCGTTTGTTATGTAACTTTTTTCGTTGCCAATTCGACAAGGTTACTATGTGTACTTAGATACATATATATGGTATGATTTAATATGGAGGATGTGAGTCTCAATTATAGTCATACATATTGACTTTTGTAGAATTAATTGCTCATATTAATTAATTGAGATTTACATTAGTTATATAATAAAAATAATAATTATTATAATTAAATATGATTTAATGATATAATAATTAATCGGGGAGCTTGGATTGAGCCGAAAAAAAAAAAAGCACCAGCAATGGATCTCCGCCGCCGCTTATTTCCATGTTGAGAACACGCCAGAGACCTCACCTAAGACATGGGAGCCACACTTCAAGCTCACCAAATTAATGTGCCACCTCAAGAATCACAACCTCATCATGGAAATACGTTGCACCATATGCGACGCCCAGTCCACATTCCTAGCCCACTGTCCCGACCACGAGGTCATCTGCTGGCTCCGTTCAATAATAATTCTTGTGCGGTTGCTTTTGCTGCGATATCCGACTTCTGGTCGTAGTGCCGACCTCTTAAAGGGAGATATCAGGCTGTGGTTTTGTTGATTTGGGGGATGCCAGTGGATTTCGGCCATGCTCCGCCATTGTTAGGCAAGCTCGGGATAGGCGAGAGGGTGAGATCTGTCTCTCCTTGGTGTTGACCATCACTAGGGCGGACATCGAGTCTTTCTACGAATCATCGATCCCATTGCGGCAGCTCTTCGCCCTAGTTACGGGTAGCTCGGGGGGATGTTGTGGGTTTTGGCTAACTCGGCGGTGAACCTGTTGGCCGCCAGAGCCGTCCACCGCTTCTGGGGTGGTCAGAGTTGAGTTTTGTGCCCTTTGTTACCCTGATTTCTCTTTGTTTCTCTGGTGCAAGGACGAAGAGTGTCTCAGGCAAGTGCTGTTGTCATCTTCTTTGGGGTTAACATTAGTGTTGCCGTCTTCTTTGGGGTTAGCAGTGGTCGTAGTTGGAGTTTGCAGGGGTACTTGTTGGGTATGGTCTCTTGGTGGTTCACTGATGGTGTTCCATTTGGTGGGGGTATGGTTCTTGGCCCGTGTTTAGTTAGCTGTTGTTCTTCTGGTGTCTCTATATTTGTGGTTGGGCCATGCTTCTGTCTCTCTGGTGGTCGTCTTCAGGTGTTGGCTCTCAAGTGGGGTGGTTTCACTCGTCTGTTGCTGTGAAAGGTAATACTCTATTTATTAGTGTTCTTGTAGTGTCCTTGTGGTGTTGTTTGTTGTGGTGTCCTTGTGTGTTTCTTTTAAGTGGTGTAGTGTGGGGTGTTTTGTTCTTTTTTTGGGAGTGACGTTCTCCTATTCAGAGTGTTTGTTCTCCACTTATGGGAGTTGTGCTCTTCACTTGTTGGAGGTTTGTATTTTTATCTTTGTGGGTGAGTTGTGTTGAGATATGAAAACAAGCGCAACAAACAAAAATACCCCCTGCAACAAATATGACAAGCACCACTACTAATGAGAATAAACCAACACAAATAAATAAAAGATGAGAAATAAGAAGAACATAAAAATTGATAATGTGTTCGGCGAAAATATCCTACGCCTGCAGGCACCGCCAACCGCAACGCCAAATTTATTAAACTCACCAACATAATACAACTAGGGTTAAATAACACGCGAATTAGGATTTTCTTAATTAAGAATTTCCTTCTAAGAGAGGAGTGAATAAAATAAGGTGCAATTGTAACCCAAAGGCAAGGGACCTAATTATGCTAAAAATATCCTATCTTTGGTACACATTCGATGTGAGACATAAAATTAAGTAAAATCTAACAATTCTCCACCTTGACTAATTTTGCTTCCACTCCGACTCTTCAATCCAACTCAACTGCTGGCAGTGCCTCCAAATGCACCTCTCGGCGTCAACTCAAATATGCAGAATGTTGATCAAGTCTAAACAATGTTCAAACTTCACTGCTGTCACTACTTTGGTCGTCATGTCTGCAGGATTCTCCATGGTCTTGATCTTCTTAAATACAACGGTTCCATCTTCTAGAATTTCCCGCACAAAGTGAGAGCGAACATCAATATGCTTCGTTCTTGCATGAAATACTTGATTTTTCGCTAAGTGAATAGTGCTTTAACTGTCACAATGCACTAAGACGTGCTTTTGACCAACTCCCAAGTCTTCAAGCAAACTTTAAAGCCAAATAGCCTCCTTCACAGCTTTAGTAACTGCCGTATACTCCTGCCTCTGTTGTAGACAAAACAACTGTTGGCTGTAAAGTAGACTTCCAACTGACTGGAGCTTTGGCAAAAGTGAACAAATATCCAGTCATTGATCTTCGCTTATCCAAATCGCTCGCGTAGTCAGAATCACAATATCCAACCACACATTGACCAAATTCATCATGCTCATAAACTAGTCCAACGTCTACAATACTATAAATGTACCACAGAATCCATTTCATAGCTTGCTAATGACCTTTATCAGGGTCATGCATATACCTGCTAACAACACTAACTGCTTGTGAAATGTCGGGCTTTGTACAATCGCATACATCAAACTGCCAATTTCATTTGCATATGAGACTCTAGTCATGCACTCTCGTTCTTCATCACAGTTTGATAATAATTGGACACTTAACTTAATATGAGGGGCAAGTGGTGTACTCACAGGCTTCGTCTAATCTTTTATGCCGAAACGCTGCAATACTTTATTAAGATATTGCTTCTGAGTCAAACAAAGCTTACCTCTCATTCTATCCCTGTTTATCTCTATCCCAAGTTCTTCTTAGCTTCCCTCAAGTCTTTCATCTCAAACTCTTGATTCAACTGAGCCTTCAACTGATCAATCTCCATTTGGCTCTTTGATGCAACCAATATGTCATCCACATACAAGAGTAAGTAAATGAAAGATCCATCTTGCAGCTTGCATAAATACACACAATGATCATGTCTGCTTCGCGTGTACTTCTACCCAATCATAAACTTATTAAATCGTTTGTACCACTGCCTCGGAGATTGCTTCAGTCCTTACAACGATTTGTTCAACTTACAGACCCAATTCTCTTTTCCAAGAATTTTGAATCCTTTTGGCTGAGTCATGTAGATTTCTTCATCCAACGTGTAAGAACGTTGTCTTCACGTCAAGTTTAGCTAGCTCTAAATCCAATTGTGCTGCTAAGGCCAACAAAATTCTAATGGATGAGTGTTTAACAACTGGAGAACCTTTCTTCTGAGCGTAGCCTTCAGCCATCAACCTTGCCTTGTAGCGCACATCATTCTTCTGAGGAAATCCATCTTTCTTTACAAATACCCACTTGCATTCTATCGTCCTCTTGCCTTTTGGTAGTTGTATTACCTTCCAAGTTTGATTATTCTGGAGAGAAAACATTTCTTCCTCCATAGTCCATTTCCACTTCTCATTTTTCTAAACTTTGAATTTCATCTTGGAAAGTGAAAGATATGTCATCGTCAACAATTTGAAGTGCATAAGCCACCATATCCGCCAATCGAGCAGGTTGTTGAATCTCTCGTCTGGGCTTTCTCAATGCAATGGGTAAATCTAATGATTCTTGAGTCTGAACTTTATCATCTGATATTGGTTCGTCGATAATAGCCGGTTGTCTCGTCATCGCATATATCCCCACTTCTTCGGTGTCAACTCCACCAGTTGGGTTTGCGTCGCCTTTATCATACATTGTTCATCAAATGTAATATCCATGCTAAACACAGTTTTGTTCATCTCTGTAAGTTCAGGATATTGACAGTAAATCGATGAACCTTCTGATGATCACAGGATTCAGAAACATGCGGGAATATTTAAGGGAAGTTTATTTTTGGTATAAATAAAACCCGCTTCATTTAAGTCAAAATTGACTGATTATTTGTTTTATTATTCTTGCGGGTCGACAAGATTGAAGGGGAGATTCACCTTTCATAATAAAAAAAGAAGAAGATCGCGAGATTTCCTTCCTTATGCGTATATGTCTTGGGCGTAAAGACTTACCAAATGATGCTGTAAGATAAAAGGAGGACGAGACCAGAGTTCAGGACGACCTTTTTTGCTGGATTTTTTAAGTTTTATGTTTTCTTTCCTTGAGTGAAAAAGAGATTTTAGAAAACAATTTCTTTTGTAACAGAATGTACGGAGGTTCATTCTGATCTAGTTTTAAGGGATTCGAACTAGAAAATCCACAAGAGAATTGTGGTCAGATAAGTAGTTGTGTGGATCATAATTCAAGTAGAGTGTAGAGGGAGTCTTTACTGTAAATCCTTGAATGATGTATGAGTTGTTCACATTAATGAAAGAGATCTGAAGGGAGAGTGGGACGCTCTCCTGAAGGTTCAATTCCTAGTGAAAATTGCTTCCGCAATTGTTTGAATCTTTGTTACTATCTGTTTGTTCGATTTACGTGCAACTCTGGATACTTGGTGTTCGAGTATCAAATTACAATCACAAGACACAAAAAACGATATTGCTTCACACCAATTGTGATTCCTATGAACAAAGTCTTTTTCGCTCTTGGATCTAACTTAATTTGAATCCTTCACATGATAGTACGTAGGACACCCAAAGACATGTAAGATCCATAGTCAGCAATAGGTTTCCCCGACCATACCTCGAACGGTGTTTTACCATCTTTTGCAGATGATGGCAAACGATTTATGAGGTGTTGCGCGTATGTTACAGCCTCAACCCAATACTCCTTGCCCAAACCAGCATTGAAAAACATACATCGAACTTTCTCCACCAATGTTCGATTCATGCGCTCCACCACCCCATTTTGTTGTGGTGTCCGTCTAACGGTGAAGTGTCTAATAATGCTATTTTTTTGGCAAACTTTTTGAAAGGGATCACTTGTATATTTCTCCACCATTATCTGTTCGTAGGACCTTGATCTTCCTTCCAGTCTAATTCTCAATTTGTGTCTTCCATGTAATGAAGACACCAAGCACTTCATCCTTCGTCTTCATAGTGTACACCCAAACACGTCTGGAAAAGTCATCAATGAAAGTGATCAAAACAACATAAATGGCTTTAAGTAGCAGCATCAAATGTAACACTTTACAAATAGGTATCATATCAGTGTTGCCAAAAACTACCAAAAGTATTACCTATTTGTAAAGTGTTACATTTGATGGTGCTACCTAAAGTCATTTATGTTGTAGTATTCCGCCTAATGATGGGGTCTTAGAATGTCCCAACATGTCCGAATGAACATAATCCAAGACACCTTCGTATTATGGATAGCCGTTCCAAACTTCACTCTCTTCTGCTTTCCCAGAACACAATGCTCACAAAAGTCTAGTTTGCACACTTTGACATCTTCCAACAGTCCTTGTTTTGCCAATGTTTTCAAGGACTTTTCACAAGCATGTCCCAACCGCATATGCCACAACTTGACTGCTTCAGACTCCTTGTTGGAGGAATCTGCTACTGTTGTTGTCCCAAACAACTGTATCACCTTCATAGTAATATAAATTATTCCTCCTGATGCCTTTCATCACCACGAGCGAGCCGTACGTAGCCTTCATAACTCTATCTCGCAAAGTAATCACCAACCCTTTGGATTCCAAGGCTCCTAATGAGATGAGATTTTTCTACGTATTGAACATCCGTCAAAACTCTGGTGGAACCATCGCGATTTTTCAGACGGATTGAACCTATCTCAGTTGTCTTACAGGCATTATCATTACCTATATAGACAACCCCTCTAGTGATATCTTCAAATTGAAGAACCACTCCCTTATGGGAGACATATGGTAGGTGCATCCTGAATCCAAAATCCATTCGTCTGGATGAAATGATGAAAGTGAAACCACAAGTGAAAATTCTGAGTCTTCACTTCTACCCTCGATAACATATGCATCTTGAGGAAATTTGCCCTTCTTCTTCAACTTAGGACAGTCTTTCTTCTAGTGTCCCTTCTCATGGCAGGAAGCACACTCGTCTTTTTCAAGCTTGGCTTTGGAATGTGATCTTCCTCGTTCGTTATTCTTTTGGCTCTTCGATCGACCTCTTGCAACCAACATTTCATCTTCTGATGTTGCATTCTTCGTCTCTTGTTTGTTCTTCTTCCTCAACTAATAGTTATACAAAGCAGAACTGACCACTGCAAGAGTTACATCGTCCTTCCCACGGAGCAGTGTAGTCTCCAAGTGCTCGACTGAAACTGATGATAACAACATAAGAGCCAAATTTTCATCGATGAATGTGACGTCCAAGTTCAACAAATCTGCAACCAATTGATTGAATGCAGTGACGTGGTCTTTCATCGATGTGCCATGCCGGTACTTGAATCAGAACAATCGCTTCTTCATGAAGAGCTTATTCTGGACACTTTTCTTCAAAAATTTATCCTCCAAAGCCTTCCACAGAGCGTGAGAAGAGTTCATTCTTGAACGCGTATTTCTGCTCCCTCAACAAACACGAACAAATTGTCCCACATGCTAAGCGGTTGATATTCTTACAGTCCTTCTCTTCAACGTCTGTTGGCTTCTCTTCTTCAATATCAATGTTGACGCCTTTTTGAAATAGACAATCCAGCAGCTCGCCTTGCCACATGCCGAAATGACCGGTCCCGTCGAAGATCTCCACCGAGAGTCTGACGTTCGGCATCACCGTTCTTGCTGGAATGAAATGCAGAGGATGATGCACCATTGACCTTCTTGGACATCTCAGACTCGAATGCAGTGCTCGCCTCTCCGAATGAGCATGAGACGAACTTTCAGCTCTGATACCACTTGTTGGGGTATGAAAAAAGCGCAGCGGACAAAATACCCCCTACAACAAATATGACAAGCACCACTACTAACGAGAATAAACCAATACAAATAAATAAAAGCGAGAAATAAAAAGAACACAAAAATTGATAACGGAGTTCGACAAAAATAGCCTACGTCTCCGGGCACCGCCAACCTCCACGCCAAATTTACTAAACTCACCAACAGAATACAACTAGGGTTAAATAACTCATAAATTAGGATTTCCTTAATTAAAGATTTCTTTCTAAGAGAGGAGAAAATAGAATAAAAGAGTAATTGTACATATCCGATGTGGGACATAAAATTAATCAAAATCTAACAAGTTGTGGTCTTTAGATTACCTTTGGGATGTCTTCTCAGCTCGACTTCGACTGCTTTGGTCGACTTCTGTATTGTAATTATGTGTTTTATCATTGTCATTATGTCGTTGGACCAAAAAAAAAAGGTCTTGTAAAAGCGCTTTTTAGGTCATACACCCATATCACCTTTCATTTACATGTGTTGTGACAACGAAAGATTAATAATAAATAGGGAACCCACACATGGATAGAAGCTGTGGAGTGCGGACTCACCGAGGACAAGCAGAGAACTCGAGAGGCGCCTCACACTTGACTTGCTTCACCATCTCTGCTTAGTTTGTTCCTCTCTCCCCAGAAGGACACCACTAATTGAAGCGAAAAATGATGTGGATAATCAGATCGATTAGGCGACCTCTGCTCCAGCTGCACCTGAACGCGGCGGCGAATTTTTCCTCCTCGGCGGCGGCGGTGGAGGCGGAGAGGACCATAAAAGAAGGGCCGAGGAATAATTGGGCCAGACAGGAAATCAAATCCATCTACGATTCTCCTGTTCTCGATCTCCTCTTCCATGCGGTAAATTGTTACCTACATCTTATATCCTTCTTGTTTATATTTTTGAGACAGAATAAGGGCAAGCAGATTCTTTTTTGTGCTTGAGATAGCTGTACATTGTGCTTTACCGTTTGTATATATGTTCCAGAACGTACATTTCCTTTGCTTTGACGGCTTATTTTCTCTTACAATTCAAACAGTGACACCCAATTTAACTGCAGAAAGAATAATTTTTAATGTAAGAACAGCCCATCAGAACGTCCCTTTTTGCTGACATCTAATTCCTCTCACATATACTTTTGATTCTAAAAATGTCCCATTTATTTGTTTTTGGGGTTTATGTTTTTCGAATGAGTCTTCTTTTGCAAGCGCTCAATCTGTTCTCATGCAAGGGTGATGCTTGTGCAGGCTCAAGTTCATAGACATGCACATAATTTCAGAGAAGTGCAGCAATGTACTCTGTTATCTATTAAAACAGGTGGATGCAGTGAAGATTGTTCCTACTGCCCTCAGTCTTCTAGATACAATACTGGGCTTAAAGCACAAAAGCTTATGAGTGAAGATGCTGTCCTTGAGGCTGCAAAAAAGGTGAAATTATCTGTCGGTACGCAATAAATAAATTTATCTGCACGAGTCGTGGCTTAGTATTTTCTGCTCATGGTAAGAATAGATTAACTTCATCCGTTTAGCGGCTGTGTGTAAGGTTCTTCTTCTGAAACTCGTTATGTGTTGGTATTTATTCAGTATGGGGTTTCATTTAAAATCTCCTTAGACAGCCCAATTGGTCATCACATCATTACTGGGGACAAACCGATTGTTGGATGACGGAGTAGAACTCGTGGTTTCCTTATTTAACTTGTTTTCGTCTGTGATCTTTGTTATTCTACCTTTAGTTGGTGATTTTGTATACATGTGCATTAGCATTAAGAATCATTGCCGAAACTACCCTCAAGACTCAGCTTTATTAAACAAACAAGAAAAAAGATTCCAGTTCCTATGGCATTACATGAATTTGCTTAACAAATTACTGGCAATGTAAATTAGAAGCAAATACTAGGGGGCTAATTTGTAGTTTGAGAGGTTAATCTTGGACTCTTTTGTCTTTAATTTGAACCTCAAGGGCAGTAATTGTTTTCATTATGAGCTATTGTACCAGATACTCAGCTTGTTGCATGATTCAAATCTATTTGTATATGAACAGGCAAAAGAGGCAGGCAGCACTCGATTCTGTATGGGTGCTGCATGGAGGGACACCATTGGAAGAAAGACCAATTTCAACCAGATTCTTGAATATGTAAAAGAAATTAGGTAGTGTTTGATTGTTTTTCTTAATCATTTTGTTCTATTGTGATTTTTATGGTGACCAAACCTTCTGTACTTCTGCACAATAAGGGGTATGGGGATGGAGGTCTGCTGCACATTAGGTATGATAGAGAAACAGCAAGCTGTAGAGCTAAAAAAGGCTGGCCTTACAGCTTACAACCATAATCTTGACACATCTAGAGAGTATTATCCTAACATTATAACCACGAGAACTTATGATGAACGCTTGCAGACCCTTGAGCATGTTCGTGAAGCGGGCATAAATGTTTGTTCAGGTAATCTGTTTGATATTTGTTTCTGTGTGTGCATATGCACGTAGTTTGTCTCATACTGTGTTTATTTGCTTGTGTTGGTTTCTTAGTATGACAAAATGTTTGCATTCAATTACATTTAGGAAGCGTTTACAAACTTCTTGAAGAAAAAGGTAATCGATTTTAGTTTTCTGCAAATTGCAACTTTTGGTTTTGCTTCTATTTTCGATTAAATTGAAATTTATAGTGGTTGGGGGATTTTGTAGAAGTGCTTTTGGTACTGTTTTAAGTAAAGGGAAATTCATTTTGACGTGCATGTTCTTTTCTCTATTAGGTAAACCCAAAATGCTGTTTCATCCTTTATAGACGACTCGCTGTAATGAAACAACAGTTGTTTTTTATGAAAAGCACACTACTTTTTCCACAATTATTAAAGTTTCATTTTCTTCGGCTTATCATTTCTTTGGGTATACAATGCCAACCTAAGATTTCTCAACTAAGTTATTTTTGTTTCAATAAATCACTTTACAAACAGAACTTTTCTGCACATACCCACTCATCATCCCGAGGGAGATTTACACCTCCTTCACAATGTATGAAAGACATCAAAATTTGTCTCATCTGTAACATCCAGTTTTTCTGTAATCAGGAGGAATAATTGGGCTTGGCGAAGCAGAAGAGGATAGAGTTGGATTGTTACATACACTGGCAACACTCCCTACACACCCAGAGAGTGTACCTATTAATGCACTTGTTGCGGTAAAAGGCACACCCCTCGAAGATCAAAAGGTATTCATGTTAAGATCAGCCAATATTAAACATGTTCCACAAGAAGTATCTCATATTTACTTAATCTACTTGAGGAAAAGAGAGTAGGAAAAAGATGGTACATCTATAATTTGGGAATCTTATATGCGACATTCTTAACTTTCTTTCCAATATAGTGTTTCGCTCCTAAGAGAGGAAGAATGAGGATCCCATCAATTGAAGAGAACAAAAATCTAGATTTATATTGTCCTCCAATGAACTGTGCAGAATCGTACAAATAATTGAGACCTTGAACGTTACAATTGAACTAAAGGATTTTAGGCTGAGAAGAAAATTTTCAAATGATTCCATTTAAGACCGTTTTCAAATTCACCACACTTTCAAATAATAGCTCAATATATGAGCTTATGGAATTGAAGAATCCATCTTTTCACGGGCTTTTCAAAAAATGCTCAATTTATTTGTTATTTAATTTGAATTTGGTAGTATTTGAATGGGTCAACCTAAAATGCAACCGAAGACCAGTTTTCCTACTCTTACCAGCAGCAACAGCATAGTTAGTTCCATTCATGAACATTGTCCATTATATAATAATAATAATAATAATAATAATAATAATAATAATAATAATAATAATAATAATAATAATAATGCGGAAGGAATCCTATTTACCCATTAGGGGTTCAAATAGTGGAATATGCTTTTTTAGCTTGGCATAAACCTTACCTTCTTCTTATGATTCTGCTCGAACTTTCTTCGATAAAGGGAGTTCAGCTAAATAGAGTTCTGCGACCGAAATAATAATAATAATAATTCCCATCCTTGAACTGAAGTACTGAAGAGAATAACAAAAACAAGGTGTATGCTGTCAATTATAGGTGCTCCACCACAACTTTTCATAATGCTT